ATGCACAAGTTTGAGACCCAGATTTTTTTTTATTATTCCTCTGCCCCTCTCGGAGAGCCCGGCAAGCTACCGAGAGTATCTCGCCCGCACGGTGAAGCCTGGCAAGCTCCCCGTGACGTATTCGATATGCCAAACACAGTCACGACAAGAAGTCTCACAATGGAGACTTTACTGGGCCCCCTTGAGCAAATCAATGAACAACGGGAAGACAGTGTTTATATAGCACTGTCCTCCCTTTGTTAGGGGCTGGAGAGAGAGTACAGTGAGTCAGGAGTGATCCCTGAGTGCAGAGCAAGATGGAAACTGAGCACTGCTAGGTGTGACCTGCAAAGAAACAGAAAAAAGCAGAGAAGGGATGAAAGAGAGGGAGGGAAGGTGGGAGGAAGGAAGAAAGGCAGGAATTTTGCTTGCAGAAATTCTTGAGTTTTTGCAGAATTTCTTGAGCTTTGCCCATGAAACTGAAATACTGCCCATGGGAAAAGGTCTGGAAATCTAAAAGAATGAAGTAGATAAGATGACTAAGAAGTGGGACAGAGTACAGGGGCTGTGGCACTCAGTCATGCAGTTGCGTGCAGGCAACCCCCAGTTTGATCCTGGCACTTCCTAAACATGTCTGGAAGTGACCCCTTGAGCACTGAGCTGGGATTATTCTCTGAGAAGCTGCAAATCGGAGAATCTGACTCAGAGCAAACAAATCTTTAGTGATTCAGAGAATAGTCCCCACAGTGAAGACTTTCGGACTCTATCCCATGCTGGCGAATTTTGGGGTCAGAGAAAATAAAATTCTCCTTTGGCACCAACTCCAAGATCTAAATGTTTGCGTGGAAATCTTGGAACCCAGGTCTCTGGGTCCATTCAAAGGGGTTACAAGACATTAGGCGACAGCTGCCCAGAAAACCCAAGTTCCTGCCAAACCTAGTCACGCAGGCTAACCTGGAACTCACAAGGAGATTTTGTCTGGGGTGCTGTCTCTTCCCGCAGTGACCTCTGCTCACTCTTCACCTCGTCCCCAGACGTTCGAATGCCTACTGTTTTCTCCACTCTTTGATTTCCTTTCCTTGATTTGCTTCAAACGTCCCACTTTCCTGTCAGATGTCAATAGAGTGGGCAATAAGAGTTGAGAGCACAGGCTTTGGAGTCAGACCCAATAGTTGTTGTTTGGTTATTGTTGGTTTTTTTTTTTTTAAGTTTCTGGGTCACACCAGGCAATGCCCAGGGTCGCTTTTGGCTCTGCACTCAAGAATTACTTGTGGGGCTCTGAGTGACCATATGGGGTGCTTGGCCGACAAACCAGGGTCAGCAGCGTGCAAGGAAAACACTCTACCTGCTATTCTGTTGCTCAGCATCCCCTGCCCCACCCCCGATCTGATTTAGTTTTGAAACAAGTATTCTGGCTGCAGCCAAGACATTGAAAGACTAAGGGTCTGAACAATAAAACAGCAGGTACATGCTTGTCTTGCCAAGCAGCCACTGGGTTTGATCCCCAGCACCCCATATGGTCCCCTAAGCTCTGCCAGGATCCCTGAGCACAGAGCCAGGATTTAGTCCTGAGCAGAGCCTCAGGTAGCCCCCAAAACAGCAAAACGAGACACTGAAACACTGAACCTTAGTTTCTTTGTCTGATAAATTGGAAATACCACTAGTCTATAAGGGTTATGAGAGTTCAAGAATAATACTGGGTATTTGATCATTATGTGATTGTAACTCAGACATGAAAGCTTGTAACTATCTCACGGTGAATCAATAAAATTAAAAAAAAAACGCTATGCCTCTGGGCACTCTGGGAAGAAACTGAAAAAAAAAATATTTCTGTAGGACTGGAGAGGACAGTAGGTAAGGTACTTGCCTTACATGCAGCCAGCTGGAACAGTCCTGGAGCAAGCACTGCATGTGGTCCCTGAGCGACTGCCAGGAATGACCTCCATGTACAGAGCCAGGAGTAATTCTTGAATATGGCTGAGTGTGGTTCCACCAAAAACATTTATGTAAATTAGTATTTAAGAAGAGTGACCTGTCAGTGTTATCTATAACACAGGAAACAGGAAACAAATATATAGAACTGAAAAAATATATAGAACTATATTTCGTAAGGGCTGGATATATACTATAGTGGGTAAGGCCTTTGAGTTCGATCTCTGGTACCATATAGGGTCTCCTGAACCCTCCAGGAGTAATCCCTGTGTGCAGAGCCAGCAGTGACCCCTGAGTGCTAAAGGATGTGGGCCCTCGACATATAAAAGAGGCATGGAATAATAGTACAGTGGGGCGGGCATTTGCCTTGCACACAGACCAGAGCTCGATCCTTGTAATCCCATATGGTCCCCTAAATACTTCCAGGAGTAATTCCCGAGTTCAGTGCCAGGAGCAAGCCTTGGGCATTGCTAGGTGTGGCTCAAATTAAAACGAAATAACACTTCACCCTTCTTAAATTTTTGACATGGCAAATGTGAATTAAGTTTTTTCATTTTCCTTTTCTTTTTGCATTGTCAAGATTGGAACTCAGGGCTTCACAAGCATTCACACTCTACTGTTGAGCAATATCCCTGGCCCACTGCAAGTATTTTTTAATAAAATTACTTTCATTATTCATGTCATTTGTTTATAAAGCTCTGTGAGTCTGCAAGTATGGCTGGTATAGCTGTAGAATTATATTAACACACACACATACACATACAGGGATACATTAGGACAAGGAAAGGGGTGCAGAAGTGCCGGAATATAATTCAGATCATAGACTTCAAGCTCTTGATATCACAATAAAGAATATTTTTTTTCTACTTGTTGGGGTCACACCCAAGCTGGAGATGAAATTCAGCGTCTCTCACAAGCAAACCATATACTCTATCATTTGTGCCACATCCCTGGTCCCAATGTACAAAGTTTTTTAGGAAGTAGAAGTCAGGTCCAGGGGAAAGTGCCCTTGGATGCTGCAGACCTGAGTTCAATCTCAGACACTGCATATAGCCTATTGCCAAGACCTGTTGTGTCCAGTTCTACCTCCCAGCCCTCCCACAACTCCAAATAAAAATAATAAAATAATAAAAGAGTAGGAGCAATAGGAAACTTTGCCCAAGATTTTAAAAGTTTTTTATTTATTTGTTTATTTTTTGCTTTTTGGGTCACACCCGGCGATGCTCAGGGGTTACTCCTGGCTCTGCACTCAGAAATTCTGGCGGTGCTTGGGGGACCATATGGGATGCTGGGAATAGAACCTGGGTTGGCCGTGTGCAAGGCAAAAGCCCTATCCGCTGTGCTATCGCTCCAGCCCCCAAGCTGTTTAATTTCTAAATTTTATTTTCATAAGGTTGTTCACATTAATTGATTACATTCAATATTTCAACACCAATCCCACCACCATTACACCTTCCCACCACCATACAAGTCTGCCTACCACAGGCAGATGCCAGATTTTCTATTGCTTATTATGAATATCATGAGAAGTCGCCCCGCTGCTGGAATTCTAAAATTGTGAATGATTGGGGTCTGGAGATATCTCTGTAAGGAGCTAATCCATTTTGAGATTGATTTGGGAGTCTCTGGATCAATGTCCTTGATGCGCTGAGATGGCACCCGAGTCAGTTGGTGGGCTGACAGCCAGGACCCCAAGGATGGGGACTGGAAGGGACGCCCGTCCCCGCCGCCAGCATGTGGCCTGGAGTCTTCCGTCCCTGGTCCCCTGTATCTGGGTTTTTCTTCCGGAAGTTTGTGGCCCCCGGAGTTCATTTGGAGTGGGCGGTGGGAGGACGTAGTGGCGTGGTCCGGAGGAATCTCCCGTGAGCTGCTGTCCTCTGGGGTTCCCTGCGGAGTCTCTGGGTCAAGGCCATGATGAACTTAAATCTCTCCCAGAGCTTCGTCCAAGCTCAAAGATGAGGTGGGGGGATGGAGTGGTAGCACAACAGGTAGGACGTTTGCCTTGCACGCAGGCCGACTCAGGTTTGATTCCCAGCATCCCATATGGTCCCCTGAGCACCTCCAGGGATAATTCCTGAGTGCAGAGCCAGGAGTGACCCCTGTGCATCGCTGGGTGTGACCCAAAAAGAGAAAAAAAAAAGTGAGGTGGATGCTGGACCTTCTCTTCTTTCCTCTTTTCCTGTCTTGATCAGCTTCTGCCAGAAGCTGGGATCACATTTTCTCATCTTAAAATCCTTACTGTAGTAGGACAATTTATTGAAGGAGTATTTGATTTTTCCTTCTCCCGGGTCCTTTGGCTTTTTTGGGTAACACCGAGCGATGCCCAGGGGTTCCTCCCGGGAGTGTCTGGGGGACCTGCTGGGATGCAGGCCATGAAGCCAGGTGGGCCGCACGCGCGAGGCAGGAGCGGCCGCTGTCCTGTGTCTCCAGCCCCAGCTCCGACTGTCACACACCGCACACTGTGGCTGGTGCTGACCACACAGAGCAGAAGTTCCATAGAAATCACACAGACAACACCTCTCTTTTTCTTCTTCCTTTGCTTCCTGCATTCCATCCTTCCTCTCTTTCTTTTATCTTCCTCCTCTTTGGGGATTTTGCAGCAGTTCCCAATTCCTTTAGCACACGTTTGAATTTCCACTACCAAACAGAGTGCGATCCCCAGATCCCCAGGGGTGCCCATCCATGACTCCAGACGAACCACCCTAAACCCCGGTTCAAACTTTCCAGGAGGGCAAAGTTCAGAAACGGTATTTCCAGGCTCTTCCCTTCATGCAACTTTATCACAAAAGGCAGGGATTCATCCCGAGGTGAAGCCTGGTCAGAGAAGCGTCTTTCACCGCTATTCCACGGCGATTTTCCATTCCGGAGGCTGACGTTAGGAGGAAATTTAAAAAAAAAAAAATTTAAATAAAATAATTGACAGCAGGCCGAGAGAGCCCCAGGTGCGGTTGCGAGGGGAGCGCGGCCCGACGCGCGGCCAATCGGGCTGCAGGAGGGCCCCGCGCTCGGCCAATGAGCGCCGGGCGCGGAGCCGACCAATGGGCGCGACGGGCCGCGGGATTTGAATCCCGGAACGCGGCCCCGGAGGCTGCGGCGCTGCGGACGGGCCGGGCGGTAACGGCGCGGCGACCCCGCTCCCCTGCGTCTCCCCGCCGGCGCCCATGGCGCTGCTCCGACGCCCCTCGGTGAGTGGCCGCCGCCCCGCAGCCGCGCCTGCCCGCCTTTGGCCTCGCCGGGCCCGTGGCCGGTCGGACTCCGCGGCCCAGCTCGGCCCGGAGAGACGCCGCGCCTGGGCGCCCCTGGGCGCAGCCCCCGGCTCCGAGCCAGGGGCGACCCCCGAGCGCAGAGCCAGAGGCGACCCCCCTGGCGCCCCTCCAGCTCAGAGTCAGGGGCGACCCCCGAGCGCAGAGCCAGAGGCGACCCCCCTGGCGTCCCTCCAGCTCAGAGTCAGGGGCGACCCCCGAGCGCAGAGCCAGAGACGACCCCCCCTGGCGCCCTTCCAGCTCAGAGTCAGGGGCGACCCCCGAGCGCAGAGCCAGAGGCGACCCCCCTGGCGCCCGTCCCAGCTCAGAGTCAGGGGCGACCCCCTAGCGCAGAGCCAGAGGTGACCCCCCTGACGCCCCTCCAGCGCAGAGTCAGGGGCGAGCCCCTGGCTCCCCTCCAGCGCAGAGCCAGGGCGGCTTAACCCCGCAGGGAAGGGGCGCGAGAGGCGGCGCTGTAGCCCCCCACCCCTGCTCTGGTTGCCCCAGCGCGCCCCGGTCGTGGCCGTAACCCTGACTTTCCTCCCGTGTCCCGGGCCGCGCGGAGCCGGAGCGCTGGTGGGGCGGCTGGGTGCAGACGGGCGCCTTCCCTTAGCCTTCCCACCCACGCTGGCCCCGGCCAGAAGTCTCCGGGTTAACGCGACCAGTGCAAGGACTTGCGTCTTAGTTTAAAAATGCAAAATTTTCACCCCTGGCTCCTAGAGATTTTGCAGATAACTTCGAAATTGTGGCAGTCAGTAAATTCATTTACACCGTCTTCGCAAAATCAAAGTGTTAGGGCCTTTGACATGTGTGCAAGGTGTGTGTTGTGTGTGTGTGTGTGTGCGCGCGCGCGCCTGCACAGGTGTGATGGTGTGCTTTTGAATGCTACCTGGGTCTCCCTTGGCTGAGCATGAGAGGGTTTTCACACACCTGCCTCCCATTTTCTAGGACTAGCGGGACTGGAGGTAGGGCATTTGCCTTGCATGCTGGCTGACCTGGGTTCCATCCCTGGTATCCCATATTTGTCCCCTTGGATCCCCAGGAGTGATTCCTGACCCCAGAGCCCCGAGTCACTCCTGAGCACTGCTCTGTGTGGCCCCAAAAGAGCAGCTTGACTTTTCTTGCCAGATGGACTCATATTTAGTTAACAGGCTTCAACACTGCGCTTCCATTTTTTTTTTTTTTTGGGCTATGCCTGGCAGTGCCCAGGGATGCTCCTGCCTCTATGGTTAGGGATCACTCCTGGGACTTGGGGGGACTTTATCCGGAGCCTGGAGATCAAACCCGGGTCACCCACCTACAAGGGCTTACCCACTGTACTCTCCAGCCCATTTTATTTATTTTTAAATTTTATTTATTTATTTATTTATTGCTTTTTGGGTCACACCCAGCAATGCACAGGGATTACTCCTGGCTCATGCACTCAGGAATTACTCCTGGCAGTGCTCAGGAGACCATGTGGGATGCTGGAATCGAACCTGGCTCGGCTGCATGCAAGGAAAATGCCCTACCTGCTTTGCTATCGCTCCAGTCCCCATCCAGCCCATTTTAGAACTGAATTTAACGTTTATGGATTTGAGATACAAAACCACTACCACTAAACTATCATTGTGTTGCCTCTGTTCATCTCTTCCTTTCTCTGTTAGGAAAACCAAGGCTTCCTCATTGCTCTTTTCTGTCTATTCTGTTGTTTTGTTAGACAATGGACTTTATTATAGCTTTTTTTTTTTATGTTTTGGGGCCAGACCTGACAGTGCTCAGGGCTTTCTGTGCACAGTAGTCACTCCTAGTGCTCTTGGGGCCTATATAGGGTACTGGGGATTAAACCCAGGTCAAATGTGTGAAAGGCAGACACCCTACCTGCTGTATTATTACTCCCACTCTTATTATAGCTTGTCATATTGTGTCTTAGTTGCTCTTGTTTCTAATCTCTGGAAAGGGGACAGAGGGGATGTTTGAAACTAGATGCCCTTAATCAGAGTCTAAAAAGTGTTACGGGTGCTCTGTGAGAAGTAACCACCTCCTTGGGAAGGTCTAATTATTTTGTATGTGGGATTTTTTTTTTCTTTTTGATTTTTGGGTCACACCCAGCGGTGCACAAGGTTTACTCCTGGCTCATGCACTCAGAAATTACTCCTGGTAGTGCTTAGGGAGACCATATGGGATGCTGGGAATCGAACTTGGGTCAGCTGTGTGCAAGGCAAAAGCCCTACCCGCTGTGCTATTGCTCCAGCCCCTGTATGTGAGTATTGATTGCTAATATGGACCAGAGATTGGCTTGAGCGATATCATCACAAGAAACTGTGGCACTGTCCTCCTGCTGTTCATCAATTTGCTTGATTGGGCACCAGTAACGTCTCTATTTGAGATTTGTTGTTACTGTTTTTGGCATTATCAAGTACGTCACGGGGAGCTTGCCAGGCTTTGTTGTGCAGGTGAGATACTCTCGGTAGCTTGCCGGGCTCTTCAAGAGGGGTGGAGGAATCGAACCCGGGTCGGCTGTGTGCAAGGAAAACGCCCTACCCGCTGTGCTATCATTCTGGTCCCACGAGAAACTAGATTTCCTGAAATGTATCTTTTGCTTTTTTTGTAATACATTTGCCTTTAGAACACAACAGATTTACCTTTCTACCAAATAATTCTGAATCTGGACCTAACACTAGCCATAGGTAAAGGTAAAGGCCCTCCCGTTGATCGTCGATTTGCTCGAGCGGGCCCAGTAACGTCTCCATTGGAGACTTTGTTGTTACTGTGTCTGGCATATCGAATACTCTCGGTAGCTTGCCGGGCTCTCCTTAACACTAGCCATATATGTATATATATATATATTTTTCTTTTTGGGTTACACCGGGTGATGCTCAGGGGTTACTCCTGGCTTTGCACTCAGGAATCACTCCTGGTGGTGCTCGGGGGACCATGTGGGATGCTAGGAATCAAACCCGGATTGGCCGCATGCAAGGCAAATGCTCTACCCGCTGTGCTATTTCTCCAGCCCCTACCCATGTATTTTAAGTTAACTCTTTCTTTTTCTATTTTGCTCCCCCAGGTAGCTACAGATTTGGACAGCATTGACACAGGAGTCAGTTCTAAAGTCAAGAACCATGTGACCATCAGGCGAGCAGTTTTGGAAGAAATTGGAAATAGAGTTACAACCAAAGGCGCACAAGTAGCTAAGGTGGTGACTGCGGAGATGGTGTGTGCACTGGGCTGGCCCGGCCTGCCTGATGCTCGCCCCCTGCTCACCTTTCTCTTTTCTTGTAGAAAGCTCAGAACACTAAAGTTCCTGTTCAGACCTCCAAAGTAGCACATGGCAGCAAGCAAGTGAAGCCCACGGCCTCTGTGAAACCAATCCAGATGGAGAAGCTGGCTCCGAAGGTAGTTGGTTGTGGACTGAAAGATTCTCAGTCGAATGGGAACAGGGCTGGGAGGCCTGGTAGCAGCTTGCCGGGACACATACAAGCAAGCAAGCAAGCAAAGAATATTTGGTGAAGGAGCCTGATTGGGCCTCTGGGGAGACTGTCACACCTGCAGCTTCTGAAGAGAACTCAGGCCTGGGGCTCACCTCTCAGAGCCCTGCAGGGAGTGGGGTTCACCTACTCACTAATGCTTTTTTTGATGTGTGACCTGGAGTAACAGTGTTGGTAACCTTAATACCCAAATATGTTCAGCAGCCTTGGCTGAACGTAAAATTTGATTTTTGGTAAAATAATACTTTTATTTTATTTATTTATTTTTTTGCTTTTTGGGTCACACCTGGCCATGCACAGGGGTTGCTCCTGTCCTACACTCAGGAATTACTCCTGGTGGTGCTTGGGAGACCATATGGGACGCTGGGAATGGAACCCAGGTTGGCCGCGTCAAGGCAAACACCCTACCGGCTGTGCTATTGCTCCAGCCCCCCAAAAATAATACTTTTAAAGAATGAGCTTTCCTAGGAAGACTGTGGAAGCTTATAGTTTGGAGACCGCACACTCAGGTTAAAACAAGGTAAGGGGGCTGGAGAGATGCTATAGCAGGTAGGGCACTTGCCTTGCATTCAGCCGGTTTGGATTCCATCCCCAGCATCACGTATAGTACCCTGAGAGCCTCAGGGCTCAGAGCCCAGAGTAAGCCTTGAGTAACGCTTGCGGCACACTAAATCAACCAAGCAAACAAGCAAAACAAGCCAGGGGCCAGAGAGACAGGACAGAGGTTCAGGTGCTTGCCTTGCTTTTTGCCAACCTGGGTTAGATCCTGGAACTGCATACCACTGGGGAAGCACTGCAAGGTCTAGCCCCCAAACAAAACAAGAATAAAACCAACCCATCCCAAACCCAAGAGATAGAGCCTAAAATGTGTTTGGAAATTGTAGTCTGTGCCCCGAGAGTTCAGCTGGAAGCGTGACCTTAGTGAACCCTTGGCTGTGAGCCTTCCAGCACATTCTCATGTTTAGACTGCATAGATGTATGTCTATATGCTGGGTGCATATATTTATGACCTATAGTCACGGCTGGGGTAGACAGACGTGCAAGAGTGTCTCTGGGACTGGAGAGATAGGACAGAGAATATGTGCAGGCCATGCGTGTGGCCACCCCAGGGGATGCCTGTGCCCTTTCAAGGTGGCTCAGGGTCAGGGAATCCCCAACATTGCAGAGCCATTGTGCTGCTTTAGACCATGGAAGCATGGAAATGGTAGCAGATCCCAAGGGGCAGCAGGAGGCTGGAGAGACCTAACAGAGCTGCTGGGGCCTGGCAGGGGAAGTCTCCACCCTCACCAAATCCCCCTCCCCCTGGACCACCTCCTCCCGGAGGGCTTCTCTGTAGCCGATGAAGCAGCAGAGTCACAAAGGGCCTCGTGGGAACCCGGGCAGCCTTCCAGCCCTTCCTGGGTCTTTGGAGAAGCCTGTTTGTTTCTTGCTGTTTGGAGAGAACAATGGTGGTAGCTAACTAAGGAGGATTTGGCACGCTTGGTAGCTGGACTGTAGGGAGATGTGGCCTGGCTCCATGCTCCATGGAACTCAGCTGAGCCAAGACTGGCTCTGCCCTCCCTCGCCCCAGTCATGCCAGAGGAATCGAAGCTAAAGCGGGCGGCCAGGCGACAGCTTCGCAGAGTGGCTGCAGCTAGTAATGTAAATGAGGTTTCTGATTTAAAAACCAACTCAGTGAAAGTCATTATTCAAGTATAAGAATGTTTTCTGGCCTAACTTTCTCCAGAAAGGAAAATGGATGAGGAAAATGAGAACGATTCACATTGTTAAGGGGCCTTTTAATTTTTATTTTTTTTAAATTACAAATTTAGTCAGCAAAGCAAAGTGAACATGGCAGAGTCAAAGGTCAAAGAAACAGTACAGTGGATAGGGCACTTGCGGCCAGCTTGGCTTTCAGGAACTGCTAGGAGTAGCCCCTGAGCACTGCCAGGTGTGGCTCCAAATCCCTCCAATTTTTTTTTAACTGGACAATATAGAATTATAGGATATAATTCTATATTATAGGATTAAAATTCTGTAATATAATTGTAGGACATAATTCTATATACAATATAGAATCAGTTGACCTGGTTTTGATCCCTGGTACCACATATGGTCCCTTGAGCCCCACCAGGAGTGATTCCTGAGCACAGAGCCAGGAGTAAGCCTTGAGCACTGTGGCGCCAAGACAAAAACAAACAAAAAAAAAAACCAAAAATAAGAAAATATGGAAGTATACTAAGGTAAAGGCCCTCCCATTGATCGTCGATTTGCTCGAGCGGGCCCAGTAACGTCTCCATTGGAGACTTTGTTGTTACTGTGTCTGGCATATCGAATACTCTCGGTAGCTTGCCGGGCTCTCCGAGAGGGGCGGAGGAATCGAACTCGGGTCGGCCATGTTGGCTGCGTGTAAGGCAGACGCCCTACCCGGGCTGGAGCGATAGCACAGCGGGTAGGGCGTTCGCCTTACACGCGGCCAACATGGCCGACCCGAGTTCGATTCCTCCGCCCCTCTCGGAGAGCCCGGCAAGCTACCGAGAGTATTCGATATGCCAGACACAGTAACAACAAAGTCTCCAATGGAGACGTTACTGGGCCCGCTCGAGCAAATCGACGATCAACGGGAGGGCCTTTACCTTTACCTTTACCTATGGAAGTATACAATACATATAGGAACTTAAAACTACCATCCCCCATACCATTTCCCTTCCATTGTGCCCCCTAAAGCTCATCACAGGGACTGCCCGGGTCTCTCTGAGCCTCGGTGCCAGCTCACACATGACTAGCAAGGAGAGTGAGTGGTCTGGCCAGGACCGTCACTACACTTGGCACCCTGTCCTTGGCATTCCCTGGCTGCCTGTCCTTGGAAAAGCTTGTTCTAGAAGTTCTGAGAAAAGTCATCCTCTTTCACTTCAGCTTTTGCCCTGGAGGGGCAGACTCTTAAGAAGTGCTCAGGTGCACCCAGAGCCACCCTCAAGGTACTTGGGGACCCTGCAGTGCCCAGGTGGAACCCAGGACCTCTGCACTCTGAGTATGCACGGGGCCTTCCTGGGCTGCCAACTGAACTACTTCTGACTTCTCCTCCCTCCCCCATCAGCTCTGACTCTGGTCACCTTAGCCTGTGCCTCTCTGCACGTGCAAGTCTTCCCCTGTCATTCTCTAACCCTTCCAGAGTCAAATCCTTACAGGAGTGCCTGCCTCTGAATGTCTCTTGCCTTGCTCTCTGAGTGCTTTCTCCTCCCCAGTCCTTTGATTTAAGAGGGAAGGGCAGGCTCTAAAAATTATTTTGTTGCTACTGTTATTTTAACCTTCCCTAAGACTAAGAACTTTTTAGCTCTGTGGGTCTGGTACCTTCCTCTCTGGTGCTTTCAGATTGCGTGGCTAGTTCCACTGGCTTCCTCTCTCTCTGTCCATGGTCCATGCAGCCTAGCATCATGCTGGGTCTGAGAAGGACCACATACTCTTTTAGTTGCAAAGACGTAGGGACCAGAGAGATGCAACAGGGGTAAGACACATGCCTTACATGGATCCGACCTGGGTAGGAGCCCTTCCAGGAGTACTCCCTGAGCACAGGCAGATGTGGCCCAAAAGCAAACAAAAAAGTAATGGTTTATTTTTAGATCACTACTGAATCCTGTTTTATCTTACTGTATGTATTTTACAATCTGTGATTATTTTATGTTCTCTCCCAGCCAGCATAAGAGAATCAGAGCCTGGATGTGCACTAGCTCAGCCTTTGCTTCCTTCTCCTGCTTTATTCATAGACTAGAATGTGCTTTTTAGTAATTAAACAGTTTCTCAATTTAGAATAAATAAGATGAGCAAAAAAAAAAATAAATTGCAGTTGCTTTTGGAAGCTGGGGCTGCTAATGAGACTCATTAGTGCCAGGAGCCTCGGAACCCATTGGCTTGGGTCTCTGGTTCAGTGACTATTTCTGGAGCACTTGGCAAGGTTCAGTGACTATTTCTGGAGCACTTGGCAAGGTTCAGTGACTATTTCTGGAGCACTTGATATGCTTCAGTGGCTATTTCTGGAACACTTGGTAGGGTTCAGTGATTATTTCTGGAGCACTTGGTCTATGTTTAGGCTGCTGTGGCCTTTGCCATACCTCGGAGGCCAGAATCAATCATACCAATGGATATTGAGCTTCTGAATCTTTCACCCTCACGGGTAGGCAGAGAAATAACACACGAGTAGACTTTTCAGTGTCTTTAACTGGCTGCTTCCAAACAGGGCACGTTTGTGAGGAGGAAAGGTAAGAGAGAATGACTTGAAATAGGACTCAGGATGGGTTTGGTAGAGAGTGAAATATTTATTTATTTTGTTTTGGGGGCCACACCTGGTGGTGCTCAGGGCTTACTCCTGACTCTGCACTCAGGGATCATTCCTGGTAGGGCTTGGGGGATTGATTGTATGGGATGCCTGGGATCAAACCCAGGTCTACCATATGCAAAGCAAACACAGTACCCAGCCTTCAGAGTGGAATATTTAAAGGACTGGAGCAATAATACAGCCAGTAAGGTGCTTGCCTTGCACGCAGCCCATTTGGGTTTGATCCCTGGCACTGCCGTAGTACTCCTAAGCACAGAGCGCAGCTGGATGTGGCTCCAAAAACAAGCCCCCCGCACCCCAGAAAAGGAGTGGAATATTTCAGCAGAACCTGAAGAAACTGAGGAAACGTGGGGGGTTGTGGGGGATGAGGAAGAGGGAGTGCAGAGAGGGGAGTGTTCAGGGGAGGAGAGGGAGGGGTGTGTGTGTGTGTGTGTGTGTGTGTGTGTGTGTGTGTGTGTGTGTGATTAATTTCTGGGCCATTCCCACTGGTGCTCAGGGCTCATTCTTGGCTCTGCAGTCTGAGGTCACTCCTGGTGGGGCTTGGAGACCATATGGAGCACCCAGAATTGAACCCAATTCAGTCACGTGCGCCTCTGTACTATCTCTTTGGCCTGTCAGATAATTTTGCTTTTATTATTCATTTTTTGAAGTAAAAACATTTTATTTGGGGTTTTTTTTAGAAAGGGGAAGGAAATAGAGAGTTACATACCACAGAGAACGCAGGCTTCTCCGAAGGCAGAGAGAACCCCGGTACACATCTCAAATGAGGAAATGCAGGCCCCCAGGTGCCTGGCCATGGGGCACAGGCAGCACAGAGACTCGGCAGCATGTGTGCCACTTGCTTGGAGTTTTAAACAGAAGAGTATCACTGTATCACTGTCATCCTGTTGTTCATCGATTTCCTCTAGCAGGCACCAGTAACGTCTCCTTCGTCCTAGACCTGAGATTTTATTTTTTTAATTTATTTTATTTTTTTTTTCTTTTTGGGTCACACCCAGCGATGCACAGGGGTTACTCCTGGCTCTGCACTCGGAATCACCCCTGGCAGTGCTCAGGGGACCATATGGGATACTGGGAATCAAACCCGGGTTGGCCACGTGCAAGGCAAATGCCCTACCTGCTGTGCTATTGCTCCAGCCCCATGCCCTAAGATTTTAGAAAGTGCCACATTCGAGGCTCGTTCAGGGTCAGGGGAATGAGACCCATCATTGTTACTGGTTTTTGGCATACTGAATACACTAGGGGGAGTTTGCCAGACTCTCTGCCGTGTAGGCAGGATACTTTCGATAGCCTGCCGGGTTCTCCAGAGTAATAATTAGATAATAAGATGCTTCCGGGAGCTGGGTTTTATAGTCTCTGGGTCTTGGCTGTTGAAGGGATTACACAGTGCTGGGGGCAGTTGGTGGGTATAACGCCTAGCTACTGGAAGATGGGGGATCTGGGTGGAGGAGGCCCAGTCCCGATCCGAGCAGGCTTGGAGATCTCAGCCCTGGGTCCCGCATGCCTGGGCTCCTCTGCTGGTTCCTTCATGTGTGAGGCTCATCTGAATGTTTAAAGAGTGGTTTCAGCATGGCTGTTTCTGGAAACAGAAGAGTAATTTTCTAAAAATGCCATCTTGGGGTTGGAGATAGAGTCCAGATGTTATGGTCTTTGCCTGGCATTCAGCTGGCCAGGGCTTGATCCTGAGCGACCAGGAGGGACCCCTGAGAACCACTGGGTGTGGCACAAACAACAACAGATAATAAGTTAAATAAACCCACAGGAGCAGCAGGAAGGAATTTGGAAAGGCCTGGAGCTCTTATTTCTCTGGCACTGTTATGTGGCTCTAGGCATGGGTCAAAGCTTGGGGTGCTACAAGTCCTGCCCCCAATATCACTTTTGTATATGGTTTAAATGAGTCGGATAATACAGAATGCCCTCTCCCCGCCTAGAAAACAACCAACCCCCTCCCCCCCCTCCACCCCTCCAAGCCATGTCCTCCTCAGGGCTCAGCTTCCCCCCTCCGCCTGGTCTGCCCAGCGCCCAGGCCTGGGCCCCCACCACGAAATGAAATCTGCGCCTCGAATCAGTCATGGCTCATTCTTGACTCCTTTGGGTTCCATTTTCCCCTGTTTCAAAAGTATGCCCCCCCCACATTCCGACCCAGGGCGCCAGGACTCACCCCGCGTCCTGTTCTAGCAGGCTCCCCCTGCGCCCCAAGACGTCTGCATGAAGGAGGACACGCTGTGCCAGGCGTTCTCGGATGCCTTGCTCTGCAAGGTCCAGGACATCGACGCGGAGGACAGGGAGAACCCGCAGCTCTGCAGCGACTACGCAAAGGACATCTACCAGTACCTGCGGCAGCTGGAGGTACGCGAACCGCGGCGGAGGGGAGGGCAGCCGCGCAGGCTGCAGGCTCACCCTTGCGTCCCCCCGACAGGCCCTGCAGTGCATCAGCCCGCGCTTCCTGGACGGCAGGGACATCAACGGGCGCATGCGGGCCATCCTGGTGGACTGGCTGGTGCAGGTGCACTCCAAGTTCCGGTTGCTGCAGGAGACGCTCTACATGTGCGTGGCCCTCATGGACCGCTTCCTGCAGGTGAGGAGGGGCGCCCTGGGAGAGCCCGGCCGGCCCGGAGGACCCTGGACACGACACGGAGCCGCGGCCAAGGGCAGCGCCAGCACGTGCTGGCCTCCAGGGCCCGGGGCTGCGCGGGCAGCCGCGCCTCGGCACTCGGGTGTCTGCCCCGAGAACCCCGCAGTGCCATGCGAGCAGGGGTCGCTGGCAGGCAGGAAGCATGCTTGCCGTGAGCTGGGGTTAGGTTAGGGGGGCCACAGCGGTGGGTGCTCAGGGGACTGTGCGTGCCAAGCTGGGCTCCGGCCTGTGCAGCGGCTTTCGGACCCTGAAGACGAGGAAAAGGGTTGGGTGTGGGGCTGTGGGGATGTACTGAGAATGGAAGACAATTCCTTTTCTAAAGAAATTAATTTTTAAATTTTATTTTATTTACTTTTAAATTTTGGTTTTATAAAGTTCTGCACAGTAATTTATTGCATTCAGTATTGCAACACCAATTCCATCACCATTACCCTTTCTGACCATTACGCATTATGCTTTAAATTTTCCCAAGCTTGCCCTGAAGGCAGATGCTAAATAATTGGATTTTGTATTGCTTATTATGAATAATCCACTAAAAAATTATCCAAAAATGTTTCCTTCGAAGAAAGTGCATGAAAAGTATCTCACCTTGGAGCCATTAAGCCCCTGTTCAAGAGATCACTAATATGTTGATACAGGTTGCACCTTGGTGCTAATATATATATCTGTCACTGTCACTGTCCTCCCATTGTTCATCGATTTGCTCGAACGGGCCCAGTAACATCTCCGTTTTGAGACTTGTTGTTACTGTGTTTGGCATATGGAATACGTCACAGGTAGCTTGCCAGGCTTTGCTGTACAGGTGAGAATCTCTTGGTAGCTTGCCAGGCTCTCCGAGAGGGGCGGAGGAATCAAACCCGGCTTGGCCGGCTGGCTGCATACAAGGCCCTACTGCTGTGCTATCACTCCAGCCCAATATATATATCACTGTATCACTGTCATCCCGTTGTTCATCGATTTCCTCTAGCAGGCACCAGTAACGTCTCCTTCGTCCTAGCCCTGAGATTTTAGAAAGTGCGACATTTGAGGCTCTTTCAGGGTCAGGGGAATGAGACCCATCACTGTTACTGGTTTTTGGCATACTGAATACACCAGGGGGAGTTTACCAGACTCTGCTGTGCGGACAGGTTACTTTTGGTAGCTTGCAGGGCTCTCCAGAGTAAGAATTAGATAATAAGATGGTTCCAGGAGCTGGGTTTTATAATCTCTGGGTCTTGGTCATTGATGGGACCACCTGGCGCCACCAGCAGCTGGTGGGTGTAACACCTACATACTGGAAGATGGGGGATCTGGGTGGAGGAGGCCCAGTCCCGATCCGAGGAGGCTTGGAGATCTCATCCCCAGGTCCCACGTGCCTGGGTTCCTCTGCCTGTTCCTTCATGCGTGAGGCTCGTCTGAACGTGTGGAGAGTGGTCTCAGCATGGCTGTGGCTGGTTCTGGAGGTCTTCGGCTGCTGGGGCTCTGCTCGGGGCAGGGAGGGAAACTCAACCTGCCCCCTCCAAAGGGCCCCGGTGAGGACAGCCAGGCGCAGGGGCAGGAGACTCTCCCGCACACTGGAATATATATATATATATATATATATATATATATATAATTTTTTGAGATCAAGATTGCATGCGTCGAACTTGGGTTTAGTCCCTAGCACCCAATAAAAAGCCCTTCAGGAGTTACTTCTGCATGCAGAGCCAGTTATCAGCCCTGAGCACTGCTGGGTGTGGCCCCTTTCCCCACCCCCACCCCCAAAAAGAACAGGCAGTTACAGGTGAGGGGTGCCTAGGTGGCAGGACTTGCCTTGCATGTGTAACTCTGGATTTGAGTTTGAATCCTTTGGCAACCGTCAGAAATAAACAACCAAACAGCTTAAGAAGAGGAGATGACAATGCCTCTTTGGCTGATCACAGCGCCCAGGAGGAGAGAGAGAACAGGGGGGAATGCCCTGCCACAGTGGCAGGGGGGGATGGGGGGATGGGAGGATGGGGGGGGAGGGATATTATCCTGGTGGTGGAAAATGGGCACTGGTGGAGGGATGGGTATTTGATCGGGGTATGACCGAGATCCAAGCACAAAAATTTGTAAATCTACAACTGTACCTCATGTCGTTTCACTAATAAAAAAGAAAAAAAAAAAAAAAAAAAGAAGAGGAGATGAAGGGGCGCGCTGGGAGCTTCCTCTTTTCAGTCATGAAACCATTTCCTCATTCCCTTGGCCATTGCACTGGCCAGGCTTGAACACTCACTGGTGGTGTGCGTCAGTACTTGGGTGCTGATGTCACACACTGTTTGGTTGCTCGGTTCCTGGTGGGCGTACCTGGCTGTGTCACACTGGAGATTACTCGAGGTCCCGTTGCTAGGCCGGTGGCCTCATGCCACAGCACAGGAGCTGGGCCTCAGAACCACAGCAGGGACTTCCTCCAGGCCTGCCCAAGGCTCCTGGGCACAGTCAAGAGTGAACGTTTGGTGAGGACCAAGAGGATGTTTGAGGCACCTCCTTCCTCGCCTCTACTTCAGTTACTTCCCACTTCTCTGCTGGGCCTTATGTCCATTCAGACCTGTCGAGTGCCAGGCAGGGGTGCCTCAGACTCGGGACAAGGAGGACAGTGAAGGGGGATGTGTGGCTATCTGGCTGTCCCTGTGTGAGTGAGAAACTCCTGTGCACATCTCAGACTGTGCATCTTCCTAGCCGGCCACTGTGAGCAGGGCGGCACTTCCTGTCAGCACTGGGGTCTCCCGCGCCCCAGAGGAGGGGCCGGGCGGCACCAGACAGCGGCCTGTTCCCCGTGACCCTGCTGGCGCCCCTCACACAGGTGCAGCCCGTCTCCCGAAAGAAGCTCCAGCTGGTCGGCATCACAGCGCTGCTCCTGGCTTCAAAGTATGAGGAGATGTTTTCCCCCAGTATCGAGGACTTTGTCTACATCACAGACAACGCCTATACCAGCTCTCAGATCCGAGAAATGGAAACTCTGATTCTGAAGGAGCTGAAGTTTGAGCTGGGTCGGCCTTTGCCGCTGCATTTCTTGAGGCGGGCATCGAAGGCTGGAGAGGTAAGACTCACCCAGCGCAAGGAGGCCCACCCAAAGCTTTTCCCCAGAGAATAGGAAGTTAGGAACTAATTCAGTGGAGGCATCTTTCGGGCAAGTTCCAGGAAATCCAGTACAGCTCTTCAAGGCTCTGAGTTCTATGCACGTAGGGAAGTTCTCGGCAAGGACAAGTTTCCAGGCACCACTTTCTTTTAATAAATGCAGATTTATTTATTTATGTGTTGGGTTTAGGGCAACCCCTGGTGGTGCCCAGGGACTGATTAATCATGGCACAGAGCTCAGGGATCTGTGCTCAGGGATCACTCTTGGTTGGATCAGGGGACCCTACGGGCTGCCAGGGATTGAAGCTGGGTTGGCCACTGGTAAGGCAAGTGCCCTGTCTGCCCACTGTCCCTCTCTTGGCCCCTGGCAGCTGTTTCTCACAGCCCCTACTGTCCTCGCATAGGTGGACATCCAGCAGCACACGCTGGCCAAGTACCTGATGGAGCTGACGCTCACTGACTACGACATGGTGCACTACCATCCATCCCAGGTGGCGGCAGCCGCTTCTTGCCTGTCCCAGAAGGTTCTAGGCCAAGGAAAGTGGGTGAGTGATGGTTAAAGGAGACATTGGTGGGGTTGTATTTTAGGTCTTGTACAAAAGATGTACACAACATTTTCACAACGTGAGGACTGGTCTATTTACAACATGACCCAATAAAGTAATTGTTAAGGTTCCAAGACCCAGCGGGGAGAGCAGTAGCCTTGCATGCAGCCGACCAGCCTTTCATACGGTCTCCTGGGTCCCGCCAGGAGTACATCCCTAAGCACTGGGCCAGGAGTGAGCCCTGTGCATTGCCAGGTGTGGCCCAGAAACTAGGGAAGAGGGGCGGTGGAGGTCCAAGATCTTAAAGAGAACTTCTGGGATTAGTTTAGTTGGAGACTGGTTGACGGTACCCTGGAACATAAACTAGAGTCAAAAAGAACAAGGAATACCACTAGGAATGGATATTTTAAGATTTTCAGTGGGACAAGTGAGTTGTCAGGTACACTCAGCTGAAAGCCTGAATGCTTTACCTTGGTGATTTGAGTAAAATGAGAGGCCAGAGAGACCATGCAGACCTAAGGTGCTTGGTCCAGGTTCCATCCCTGGCTCCATATAGGGTCCCCCGGAAGCCCCCCAGGAATGACCCCTGAGCACTGTTGGGTGTGGCAACTCCCTCCTATCCGTCATTTTCCCCCTCCCCCCCAAATCACCATACCCTGAATGACAAGATGAAGTGACCGAGGAGAAGGCCTAGTTGCTGAGGCCCATGCCTGGTGTCCACAGCGGTCAGCTTCAGTCCTTGGCATTAAGTGTCCTCCCAAATGCCTCCCTAGATGCAGTGTCTGGGTTACCCTGTTGGAAAGGCCGAGAGGTGAGTTGCAGACACAGCCGAGGGAATGGCGGGACCCAGCATTTCACCATAGCTCACAGCACTTGCTTCAGAGTGGTGCAAGGCCAGAGTGCCAGCGTTCTGGGTCTTATCCTACTGCTCAAAAGAGCACCAGCAGAACCACGGGGGCAAAATATTGTGAGGAGGGTTTTTTATTCTAGGGCCACACCCAGGGCTGCTGGGGAATCATTGAGCCATCTCCTCAGCTTTGAGCAGGGTTTTTTATTTTTTTGTGGTGGGTCGGGGATTAGGCCGCGCAACATCTTATCATCTCATTCCTACTTTGGACAAACTGGCAGGCTACCAAATGTAACCTACCCACACGGCAGAGTCTGGCAAACTCCCCGTAATATACTCAATATGCCAAATACCAGTAACAATGATGGGTCTCATTCTCCTAACCCTGAAAAAGCCTTGAATATGGCACTTAAAAAAAAAAAATCTCAGGGTTAGGACAAAGAAGACGTTACTGGCACCTGCTCGAGGCAATCGACGAACAACAGGGTGGTCGTGATCGTGATCGTGAGGGGAGTGTTTGGTCCACACCTGGCGATGCTCAGGGCTTAGTCTTGGCTCTGCACTCAGGAATCACTCCTGACACTGCTCAGGGGACCATCTGGGATACTGGGGATCCAAACTGGGTTGGTCACATGCAAGGCCAGCCAACTTCAGCAGAACTTTAAATTTTTTTTTTTTCTGCTTTTGGGCTGTATCTGGTGATGTTCAGGATTTACTCCTGATTCGTGCTCAGGGGACCATGTATGGTGCCAAACTCAGGCCCATGGCATGCAAGGTGATAACCTGCTGATACTGTGTCTCTGCTATGTAAATTATTGTCACTATGGATATGGCCGCTGAGCAGATTAACATGTCATCAGAATGATGTCCAGTTTTTAATTTTGTTTTTCCTTTTTGGGCAACACCTGGCAATGTTCAGGGATTATCCTGACCCTGCGCTCAGGAATCACTCCTGGTAGTGTTCGGCAGACCATATGGGATGCCAGAGATATTCAGGTTGGTCGCATGCAAGGCAAATGCCCTACAAGCTGTACTATCGCTCCAGTCTCCAATTTTTAAAGTTTTGAACTATAGAAACTTTTATAGGAACTCTAAAGCAGAAACCATGTCAATGTGTTAAATTGGTAACAACAAAGTTAAACTAAAACAACTTGAAAATAGCATTCCTTAATGGAAGAGAGGTTAGCTTAAGAACTAATAAATAGCATATGCTTTCTTAGGAGGTTTATTAATAATCAGTTTTATAATTGTAATAATGCATACTATGGGATCACGATCACGATCATCCTGTTGTTTGTTGACTGCCTCGAGCAGGCACCAGTAACGTCTCCTTCCTAGCCCTGAGATTTTAAAAGAGCCATATTCAATGTTCTTTCGGGGCTAGAGAATGAGACCTATCATTGTTACTGGTATTCGGCATACTGAGTACAACACGGGAAGTTTGCCAGACTGCCATGCGAGCAGGATACTTTCGGTAGCCTGCCAGGTTTCCAAAGTAAAAACGAGATAATTATAATCTCTGGATCTTGGCCATTGATGGGACCACCTGGCACCGGCAACAGCTGGTGGGTGTAATGCCTACCTACTGGAAGATGGGGGATCTGGGTGGAGAATGCCCAGTCCCGGTCCGGGCAGGCGTGGAGATCTCAACCCCGGGACCCACATGCCTGGGTTCCTCTGCCGGTTCCTTCACGCATGAGGCTTGTCTGGACGTGCGGAGAGTGGTCTCAGCATGGCTGTGGCTGGTTCTGGAGGTCTTCGGCTGCCAGGGGTAGGGAGGGAAACTCAACCCGCCCCCCTCCAAGGAGCCCCAGTGAGGACAGCCAAGTACGGGGGCAGGAGACTCTGGGATAATACTATGGGATCATATAAATAAATAATATAAATAAGTACATTCATGGTACTAAGCATTAGAATGTCCAGTTTAAGGAAAAAAGATATAAACAGCTAAACCAAGAAAAACCCTGCTACATTTGTTTTGCCAATGATCAGTAAACCCCGGGCCTGGATCACTCCAAGCAGAGCTGTTCTGCGCTGCCTGTCTCTTGCACTCCAGCTCAAAGGAGGACCAGGTCCAGGGGACACACGCCTTGAGGCTGTCCCAGGAGCAGTGGCTGTGTGTGCGTGTATGTGTGTGTGAGTGTGTGTCACTGCTGTGCGCAGAATATGAAGTGATCTCTCTGCTGTGCCCAGAACATGAAGCAACGGCACTACACGGGCTACTCAGAGAACGAGGTTCTGGATGTCATGCAGCACATGGCCAAGAACGTCGTGAAAGTCAACGAGAACCTCACTAAGTTCCTCGTGAGTATGCCCAGGTCATTGCAGGCATGCATGTGTGTGCACATCTCATCCCATGGGCAGGTGTGAGAGTTGCTTCAGCACACCCTGGCAGGAAGTGTGTTGAGAAATGTCAGGGTTGGACTGTGTGAAGCTGTGAGCTTCTGTGAGGGGTGGCACTGTGGTCCAGCAGCCTGGCTGGGTGTGGGCATGCAACACAGAGGGCAGGGAGGGGAGGGGGTCTGGATGAGCAAGCAGGGCCCCTGGAAGGCGGGGGGATGAATGGGGCAAGAGTGACCGCTCTGGTCTTTGTCCAGTGGTTTGGGGAAAGGGAGTGCTGGAGAGGCAGCGTGATTGAGGAAGGTGAGAGCCTCTGGGTGCTCCTAGGGCCTGAGTGCCCACCAGTGCTCACCACGGGCTTGGGAATGAGAGTCAAGTGACCTCAGTATAGGGCAGCAGCTCTGGGGCGTGTTTCAGTCTTGGGATAACACCTGACACCTGCTGAGAACCTGGTGGCCATTCACTGTCCCTGATGCTGCCTGTCGCCCGTGCTGGCAGCCCACTGGGCATTGTGTCCCTAGAGAAACATCACTGTGGCCTTCACTGGCTTGGAGTGTACCTTGGGTCGTTGAAACTGTTTGTCCCTCACACCATGCTGCCCAGCAACTGGTCTTTTGTCCAGGGGCTGGCCAGTGGCTCAGGCAGCAGTGTCTGTTGGTAGGGCATTTGCCTTGCGTGATTCCCAGCTTCATCCAGTCCCCTGAGTCTCACCAGGAGTGACCCCGAGTGCAGAGCCAGGTGTGGCCCCCACCGGCAAACCAAAGAAGTGTCCGTTGGAGATGGGAGGCCTGGCCTTCATACCCAGATTATGGGGGAGGGTGCCCACACAGCCTGACCACACTGACTCCCGCAGGCCGTCAAGAATAAGTATGCAAGCAACAGGCTCCTGAGAATCAGCACACTTGCACAGCTCAACTCCAAAGCCATCCAAGAACTCGCCTCCCCTCTTCTGGGTCGCCCCTAGGCCATGCCTGTCTGTCCGGGCCTTTCTGGAGTGGACTCCTGACTGTATGTCTAGTCTTCTGGTCCTGTCTCACACCTATTTTCTAAATGCCTCCCATGGAAAATAAAGCTATTCGTTTTCTTAAGGCACATCTGCTTATTTGCATATCCTATATGATGCTATCAGTGGAGACTTGCTCTATTTTTTTCCTTGGAACTGCAATGTAAATTATTGTCACTATGGATTCGGAGAAAAGATCTTCCCTGTTTTGTTGTGTTTTGTTTTGAACATCCAGCAATGTTCAGGGGGCTACTCCTGGCTCTCCTCTCAGGAATCACTTCTGGCAGTGCTCGGGGGACTATATGGGATTTTGGGGAACAAACCCATGTCAGCCATGTGCCAGACAAATGCCCTCCCCGCTGTACTAATGCTCTGGCCCTGCCTTTACTGTTTTCTCAAATAAAAAAGGCTAAACTATATATAATTTGGCTTCAGTACAAGCCAGATCATTCCCAGACTTTTGTCTGAAAAAAAGAGTTACAAAAATTTTTGGTGGGAGGATCAGAATGACAGTTCTTTCTTAGTACCCATTCCTGCTTTGATTCCTGTTCTCAGAAGCAGGAGGGTGAAAGGTGACACCACCGGAAGTATCAGCCCTTGCAGAGTCTTTAAAACAACTTCCCAAGTTCAATTAGACATCATTAGGGCTGGAGGAGGGCACAGGGCAAGGCACTTCCTGAATGCGGCTGATGCTTGTTCTATCCCTGGCACTGCTACGAGCGATCCTTCAGTCCAGAGCTAGGAATAACCCCTGAGCACTGCCAGGTGTGGCTCCCAAACCCAAAAACCCAAAAGATGTTTTTTTTCCTGAGAGGAGCTGTGCCTGGTGCTCAGGTGCTACTCCTAGCTCTGTGTCCTGGGTTGTTCCTGGTAGTGCTCAGGGATTGAACCCAGGCCCCATGCAAGGTCTGCGCTCCAGTCTGGTGAGCCCCCTCTCTGACCCTGTGCATTGCCTTGAAAGGAACTAGCCAATAGGTTCAGGAAAACGGCAGATTTGTGTAAGATTACTAAAGGGTCAGCAGGCACTGGATTCCATGCTGCTCCCTGGAGAGGAGTGAAGGCTGGCTTTGGGTCTCCCACAGTGGGGATCCTCAAACTTCTCATCGTTCCCCGCTGAGCCACGCTGCCTCACTGCCAAGCCTCAGAAGAGCTGGGTATCTTTTTGTGTTAGAATCCTAGTGTGAAATTGTATAAATATCCTCTTTGAGGGGGAGAGGTGGATGGACACAGGTCTCCAGTGTGAATACTAAGTCATATGGTGGAAGGGAGCTTGCCCAACTCTGGAGAGCCGTACTTTCCCAGGTGCGCCTGAGCTAGTCACAAAGGAGCCCTGGGTTAAATCTCTGGCTGTAGGATAACACTGTTTTGTCCTTCCTCAGGTAAGCTTAGGTTTACGGGTCACACCCATCCCAGTGCTCGGAGTCACTCCCATTCCTCTGTTTATCTGTAAAGTCTTTCTCTGTGCTCTCCTCCCCAGCCAGTTAATCACCTTTTCTCCCTAATCAGATTCTGTTAGCTTGTAAGATCAGATCCTTCTAAGGACACTGAACTTGTAAATTATGTCTTTTGCATAGTTTGCCTTAAAGCAATGTCCTTTCTGTATGGACACAGGAAGACAGTCAATATTAATCTTTGTAACGTAGGAGTTGATTGGCTCCGAATAATATTTACTCCTGGGCATCTGCTTTCTTGACTCAGCTGTCCTTAGTTCCTAAGTACCCCAAAAGCAGGGTCCCAGTGAGGGACTGAACGGACCCAGGGCAAGCTGTGAGCTACCCTGGCATCAAAATGGGCTAGGCCAAAGCACCATGATACTCAACTATAAGTTGAGGGCATGATCATGGACAAATGCTTTCATGATCCAAAAGTAAGTAACGACGAGTTTTCCTGCTGGGGCTAGGAAAACTAACCTGGCCTGAGGACTGCAGAATGTATAGTGAGATGTTCTCAGGAAGAACCAAACTGTAAGTTTATATCTCTTCCTGTGCTCATACAGAATGACATTGCTAGAAATATTATAAGGAGATTTACTGTAACTATTTAAGTAGATTACTAGCTGAGGAAAGAACACACCCTCATTGGGATCCCACACTTGAGCAGATCTCCTAGTAATCTCTTTAGAAGAGATTTTATTCTCGAGTTAATCTCCTGGAGGAGTAGTCTTACCTCTCTTTGTTGATTTGTTAATGTTCAACCCACTTTTGTGTCACCACCCTACGTGATTGCCATATAAACTATGACTGTAAGCTTGGAGGGGCAGATTCAGAAGTGAGGGAGCTGGGGCTCTAGAGATCCAGAGTCAGAGCCATAAGGAGAAAGGGTTCCAGATTGGGGCCCAGGAGAGAAGGCAGAGGAGAGACAGGAGTGAAGAGGACTGGAATAAACTACAATTGATATCGACCAGCCTGGCCCTCGTTTCTTCCTTCGTCTGCCCTTGGCCAACACTGTCCTGATCCAGGCCACACACGGAGGCTCAAGAGCACTGAATGCGGGCGGTGAGATAGAGCCGTCCAGAGAGCCCGTGAACACACAACCTTCAGCATGCTAAGATTTTACACCTGGCACCATAAGGTACCTGGAGATCACCAGGAGCAACTCCCAGGAAAGAGTTGGACATGCTGGAACTTAAGCAACAAAGTACAAAGTGCAAATTACTAAGTTTAGTAAGTAACTGATGCTTTCAGGATATCATAAAATAAAACCTGACCTTGTCTTTAGAAGGGCAGACAGACAGCACAAGGGTAAGGTATTTGCCCTGCCATGTGGCTGACATGTTTGATTCCTGGTAGGTACCACAGAAGGGTCCCTGAGCCCGCCAGGTGTGATCCCTGAACAGACCTCAGGAGTAAGCCCTGAGCGATACTGGGGGTGTCCACTCCTTGACCCCCTTCCTCCTGCTCCCAAACAACAGAACACCTTTAAGGGGCCAGGAAAGAACTTCAATGGCTGAAGCACTTCCATGGGGAGACCCGGATTGACCTCTGGTGCCTTACTGCTGCAGGGTATGACCGCAGACCCTAAAAGCTCTTCTTTCTGTGCTAAGTGGGCAAAAACATGGCTGTGGCTGTAACACCAAGCTTTTCAGGCTTTGCAGGGCCAACTCTTTTCTCTTCCCACTCCCATCACCCTCCAGGGCCCTCTTGAGTGGGAATGGGCAGCCTTTGGGTAGTGCTGCTTCTCACTGATAGTTGTGTTTCCCAGGTGCTCTGTGGGGCCAAGAGCCATGGCCAAGAACAGCGGGCAGTGCACCTTTGTGGTGGAAGCCCATGTCTGACAGACAAAAAGGAGCCAGTTTCTAAAACTGCCTCTAAACACCCTACATCCTGGTCTTCATGCACAGATGAGAAGGCTTTGAAAGATTACACTAACTCACTCAAAAGTTGGTTTTATTTTGGGGTTTTGGAGCCACATCCAGTGGTGTTCAGGGATCACTCCTAATGGAGAGAGGTTGGGGGATTCCCCAGCTCTTAACTAGAGGCACTTCACTTGGACCCTGATCTGACCCCGAGTCAGCAGTTGTTTCTCTTATCTTCCCTACAGTCCCCCCCCACCCCAATCCCCACCTCAAGGTGAGTGCTCTAGGTCTAGATTGCTGAGTGTAGAAGGTATGGTAGCCCTGCAACCCTAAGTCTATGTTTTTGTTTTTTGCTTTTTGGGTCACACCCTGCGATGCACAGGAATTACTCCTGGCGGTGCTCGGGGGACCATATAGAATGCTGCAAATCAAACCCGGGTCGGCCGCGTGCAAGGCAAACGCCCTACCGGCTGTGCTATCGCTCCAGCCCCAGGTCTATGCTTTTGATTTTTTTCTCCATTTCAGTAAATGTTTTAGCTTGAAAACTGTCGACCTTTAAACTTCCTTTCTTTCTCTCTCTCTCAAAAAAAAAAAAAACTCTCTAAAACCCATACAGAAGGATTGTACAGTGCATCGGGTGCTTGCTTTGCAAGGGTTCAGTCCCTAGCAACATCAGATGGCCCCGACCACAAAGCCAGGAGTAAGCAATGAGCATCACCAGGTGCATCCCCAAAACCAAAACCACAATCACCACCAACACAAATAGCACCCACCCACCCACAAACAAATCCAAACCTAACTGCTATCCAAAAAAACACACGGAGTCAGCAGCTACGACACTAGGAGCTGCTCTGACGTGCCAGGGCTGTGCTGGGCCCCGCCGAGCCCCACGCACGAGACAGCAGCTGGGCCGCCACCGGGTGGGCACCGTGTCCGCGGCCCGCGCGCGTCGCCTGGCGCTCGTGCCCCGGCCGCCCCGCAGCTGGAGGCTCAACCCCAGCCTCCTCCCCGCTGGGGAGCGGACGGGAACGCAGGGGCGCTGGGGAGGGGTCCCGCTGCTCCGCGGCCGGGAGCGAGCCTCGGTGCGGAACGGGCCAGAGCCGCGCCCAGGGACTCATCCGCGATGCCCCGGAAGCGGAACTGCTAGCGGTGGGGTCCGCTTCCGGTGCCTTTGCGCACGCGCGTGCGGGAGGCGGTGCCTGGCGCCGGTCCGGAGGAGGCGGGGACGCGCGTGCTTGCGTGCCCGTCCGTGCGTGACGGCGCACGCCGCCCGCCTCGGCCCTGAGTGACGCGCATGTGCAGGCGGGCGGGAAGGATGGGGGGAGAGAGAGAGAGAGAGAGAGAGAGAGTGTGTGTGTGTGTGTGTGTGTGTGTGTGTGTGTGTGTGTGTGTCTCGGCCCGACGCGCATGTGCAGGCGGGCGGGAAGGATGGGGAGAGAGAGGTGTGTGTGTGTGCGCGCGCCTCGGCCCGACGCGCATGTGCAGGCGGGCGGGAAGGATGGGGAGAGAGGGGTGTGTGTGTGTGTGTGTGTGTGTGTGTGTGTGTGCGCGCGCCTCGGCCCTGAGTGACGCGCATGTGCAGGCGGGTGGGAAGGATGGGGAGAGAGAGGTGTGTGCGTGTGTGTGTGTGACGCGCATGTGCCTCCGGCACGGGTGTGTGTGTGTGCGTGTGTGTGCGTGTGTGTGACGCGCATGTGCCTCCGGCACGGGTGTGTGTGTCGACCTCCGCCTGTGTCCTTCTGTCTGTCAGACC